TTTCCCCTGATATTCAGCCTAAATCTGTCCTCTTGTAGCTTGAGCCCATCATTACGTGTCCTGCACTCTAGGATGATTGAGAACAGATCCTGCCCTTCCTCTGTATGACTACCTTTAAAGTATTTGAAAAGAGCTATCAGATTCCCCCCTGCCCCCATTTTATTTTCTCAAGGCCGGTTCTGTCAGTCTTTCCTCCAAGGCCTTGGTTTCCCCCCCCCCCCATCATCCTCGTGGCCCTCCTCTGAACTTGTTCCAGTTCGTCAGCATCCTTCTTCCAGTGCAATGCCCAGAACTGGACACAGGACTCAAGGCGAGGCCTAACCAGTGCCGAATGGAGGGGAAATCCTACCTCACACGATTTGGAGACTATGCTTATATTTTTTATTTCATTATTATTTATTTTACATCCACATCAGCCCGAGCCAGCATTGTCCACAGTATAGATTCCAGAAGTCACAGTTGTAACGTATTTAGGAAGCCATCTTAGCTTTTAAAAATAGACAAGTTCAGAAATCTTCAGGGTAGTCCCTGAAGTTACTTCCACATAAAGATGTAGAGCAGAGCTAAGCAAGCTATATTTTTTCACCTGGAAATAATTCCCTTGGTACCCAGCCTCTAAGCCTTTTTAATATTATTTGATATCCTTCCTTACTTCCCCCCTCCTCCTTGTTCCTCATGGTTAGGTGCACTTTCATCTTGTCTCTGCAGCATCAGCATCATCATACTTCCCAAACCCCCATATCATTTAAACACTATGCCTGTATGAATCCTTAGAGGGGGGGCCCCCATGTGATTATAGCCCTGACATATAAACTGCTTGACCTGAGCTTCCATTAAATATTTAAAGCATAATATTATAATATTCTTAGAGATGCAGAGCCGGAAGGGGCCCTATAGAGACTTAGAGCTGCAGAGCCGGAAGGGACCCTATAGAGGTCCAGCCCCTGTCAAGGAGGCCCAAACGGGGAATTGAACTCCCAACATCAAGTCCGGCCCCTGTCAAGGAGGCCCAAACGAGGAATTGAACTCCCAACTGCTGGATCCTAAACCAATGAGCTATCCAGAATGGACAGATGAGAACTGATAGCAGGAAAAGACAGTAATATCTGGTTGGGAGGCAAGGAATATTTAGAACCACCGACTTACAAATTTAAAAGCCAAGTGCATTGCTTACTGTACATACTGCCCTATAGTGCTTAAAGCACTCCCTGGGCAGTTTATAATGCTAACCCTAACCCCGCTCCCTGCAAGCTGGGGACTCAGTTTACCAACCTCAGAAGAAAGGAAGGCCGAGTGAACCTTTAGCTGGCTACCTGGGGTTGAACCTGGGTTGTGAGCAGAGTCTTGACTGCAGGATTGCAGTTTAACCACCGCACCACAAGGGATTCAGGAATGGGATGATGAGGTATTATCAACGACGGGTAAACATCAGTGACAAGACACTTACGCTCTTACCGGTGACTTACCAAGTCTGTATTTTTAATCTTCTGAGTTAGACCGCTGACTAAAACATTTAACCAGGGTCCATGTTCCTCCCGCTCATGCTCCCATCTAGCTGAGAGGTTAGCAATAGGTGGAAGTGGTTGGACTGCATATCCCATCAACCACAGCCAATAGCAAAGACTGTCGAAAGTTGCAGTTCAACATCCTCCGGAGGGCTACATCTGCCTGTCTCTGATGAACAGTTCTGGGAGAATGCAAGCGGTTGCATATAATTGGGGAACACCAATTGATTATAACAAAGGCTACCCACCCATCTGCAAATTTAAGGATGCAACATTTATATTTTTTAAAAAAATAGATCAGTGGTTTAGGCATGGAGTTTGATTCCCCCTCCGTGCCTCCTTGGCAGGCGCTGGATTCCATGGGGTCCTCCCACCTCTGCAGTTCTAAGATGATCATAGAACCATAGATTCTATTTAGATGATTTAACTAGCTCATACGTAAAAGTTCTCATCGGGCACTTTGCTGTTAATTGTTCTGGGGCATAGAGCCAAACACTGATTTTGTCCTGCACAATTAATGTTGTCCCATCCCTTGGAGATACCATATTTTTCCATTTATAAGATGACACAATGTATAAGACAACCTCCCCGTTTTCTAAACCCAAATTAGAAAAAGCAGGAATCAAAGGGCTCCCTTTTGGCTAAGCTCCATGCCTTGGCAAAAGACATTGAGAACAAACTGAGGGTCTTTTTATACACGAAAAGCAGCTCTCTTTTCCGTGCTTTTTGAGAAGGCACGGAGCTTAGCAAAAAGGAAGGGAGCAACGCCTCCCCTTCCTTTTTGCTAAGCTCCGTGCTTTCGCAAAAGGCAGCGGTAAAGAGCTGCCTTCCGTGTATAAAACGACCCTCAATCTGTTCTCAAATTATTTAAGGAAAAGGTGTCGTTTTATACATGGAAAAATACGATACTTTTTACAAAGATCCTTGTTGCAAAAGGTCTTACAAACCAGCGAACGTATCTCGCTCAATTCAGACTTATGGTGACCCTTTTCAGGGCTTTCTAGATGGGAAATATTCAGAAGTGGTTCGCCATTCCCTTTTTAGACTTATGGTGACCCTTTTCAGGAATTTCTAGACGGGAAATATTCAGAAGTGGTTCTCCATTCCCTTTTAATGGGGGTATTTCTGGGACAGTGCAGCTTGCCCAAGGCTACACAGGCTGGATCTACTCACATTAGGCACAGTGGGGGAATTGAACTCCCAACCTCTGGCTCCACAGTCATATACCAAATTCACAGAGCTATCCAGCGAGCATCTTGTGAGGTACCAAGGTTAGAGAAGGAGGACTCGCTCCCAACTGCTTCCTTCCTGCAGCACTGAGTGTGTCTTTGTGTTGGAAAGAGAAACCAGGAAGCAGAAGTTGTAGAAGGGGTAGCCGTCTGTGCAAGCATCATAGGGGAAAACAAAATACAGTGGTGCTTCGCTTAACGAGCGCACTGTTTAATGACGAATCCGCATAGCGATCTGTTTTTTCAGATCACTAATGCGATCGCATTGGATGTTTTTTAAACAGCTGATCGGCGGTTCCAAAGTGGCCGCCGGACACCCAAAATGGCCACCGCAACCATTTTCACGCCCTGCCCTCGCTTACCGAGGGTGCGAAAATGGCAGCGCTATGGAGGAACTTCGCTGAACGGTGAGTTTGGGGCCCCATAGGAACTCATTAAACGAAGTTTAATGCGTTCCTATGGGGTTTTTTGATCTGTTTAGCAATGTTTTTGCATAGCGACAATTAATCCGGAACGCTATGCGGGGCACCACTGTAATAAGTAAAAACAGACAAAAATGGGGTGGCACCTTAAAGACTCACGTAAATTTTTTTTAATGTGAGTTTTCATGCACAAGTCCTAAACCAGACGCCTAAACCACTGAGCATCCTATTTTCTGTCAATATAAATGAAGTTGGCTTGTCCATGAATGCTCACCATACAAAATGTAAGTCTTAAGATGACATCACATTGTTGTCTTTTTTTAACTTTTTATTCTTATTTGGTTTTCACCAGGAAACAGAAGGATCTAAAGAACACACTGTCAGACAACAGCCAGATAGCGTAACTTTATTTAATAAATCCAAAATAGTTTCTTACCGATATACAAAAATAATTCGAAGCCTCTGAACAGCTTTTAGGGTTAAAGAACATGAACACAAAGCAAATCTAACGGGGGGGGAGGAGAATCCATCAAACTGGAGCTTAGGCATTCATTCAAATCAGAAAAAAATGTGTGGGTGGCAGGCCTGGTATTAGCTTTGTCTAAATTCATTAGTTGGTTCCTGGAGAATCTATAAAGCTGCAATAAATGCGTGAATTATCTCAGTGGGACTGTCCGCATTCAGGATAAGGAAGATGTTTTACTAGAGCCTTTACGAAAACACGGCACAGTCGATTGCAATAAGTTCCAAAGTCTTATTTGTAGGAGACATCTCAGGGCTGGCATTTTCTACACAGAAGGCAAGTTATGTATATAGTACACTTAATATTTTGCTCTTTTCAGGAGCTCAGAATACCGCTTCCTCAATCCCAGACTTTTATCCTCACAGCTGCCCTCTCCAGAAGAAAGGTTATTGTGGAAAGATCATTGTGGATAAAATTAGAGCTTAGAAAATCACCTTTTGGTGATTTTTAGCAATATCTCCCAGAACACTCTTGTGCTTGTAAGGGGATGACAGGAAATGCTTTCCAAAGCATTTTCAAAGTTCTGTCCAACTTCAGGCAGCCAAAATTTATTTTAATGATGAAGAACTTATATTTCTCCCTAATCTCTCTGGCATTGATCTAGACCAGCCTTCCTTAATTTAGTATCCATCAGATGTTCTGGTCAACATCTGACGGGGACAGGCTGATCGATACGCTTATCTATCATCTGTAAGGATTTGTTTACCAGTTCTGAAACAAAGAAATGAAACATACACTGCTCACAAAGTGTGCTTTGCTGTACATTGGTATATACCAAGAATATTATACAGAAACAAATAAAATGAATAATCTGAAGAGCCTTCATTCTCAGGCTGACAAATTATCACCATCAGGGCACCTGCAAATAAATCGAAAGAATTGTTAAATTTCATTCTTATTTGACTTCCTATGAGCAGAAGACAGTACCTCGGTCCTTAGTACCACCATCACTGGTCCTCAGTAACCATGCAAGGAAGGGTAAGCAGAGAGAGAGAGAGAGAGAGAGAGAGAGAAAGAGACAGAGAGAGAGAGATTAATTGACTGAAATCCAGCGGTGCAACTACATTGTCTAAATCGTGATGATATCATCACCCGATACCATTAATGTTTATTTTAATTAACATTTTAAAATAACTATTCCTACCTTTTTTAGACGCTGCCGCTCCCTATGGATACTATTTGTCCCAGGATGCCTTTGGGAGCCTCGGGACAGTGGGAGGAAGCTTTTAAAATCAGAAAATTGCTGCCGGTGTCCTCATGGCAGCGATCCGGCAGCTCCTTTCCCGATTTTAAAGACTCCTTCCACACCAGGCTGTTCTGAGGCTCCCAGGGACATCTCCGGGGCAAATGGGATACCTTGGGAACCTTGGTACTAGAAGGGCAGGAGAGGAAGATTTACATTTAGTTGAAATAAAGATTCATGGCACCAGATGATGACATCACCTCCATTTATGCAGATAGTTACATCAACCAGATTTGACCCAATGAATATGGCCCTCATATAACCCTGTGGGAACTTGAACCCGGATCTGCTAAATCCAAGACTGAACACAACCTCACACCGAGTCTGAACGGGGCAGCAACTTGTGGACAACATCATGGAGTGAAATGGAAACACTTTCACTACAAACTCTCTCATGGGGGCAAAGAAAGGAGGAGATGGGTAAACGGTCTCCATTGAATTGTTTGAAAGGTGGTGCTGGAGGAGAGCTTTGTATCGGATACCTTGGACGGCCAGAAAAACAAACAAGTGGGTCCCAGAGCAAATCAAGCCTGAGCTGTCACTGGAGGCAAAAATGTTGAAGCTGAGGTCTTCGCGAAGGCTTTCACGGCCGGGATCTAATGGTTGTTGTGGATTTTTCGGGCTCTTTCGCCGTGTTCTGAAGGTTGTTCTTCCTAACTTTTCGCCAGTCTCTGTGGCCATGGGCATCTTCAGAGGACAGCTGAGGCTTCAAAAGGGCACACCCTGAGAAGGCAGGATTCTCTGGAAAAGACAGTAATGCTGGGAAAGGCGGAAGGCAGCAGGAAAAGAGGAAAACCAAATACGAGATGGACGGACTCCCTAATGGAAGCCACAGGCTTGAGTTTGCAAGAGCTGAGTTGAGGACACAACGTTTTGGAGATTGCTCATTAGAGAGGGGGGGGAGTCTCCCCCTGCCTGGAGCGGCTAGCCGAGTGGGAAGAGAGCGGTGCTCCCAGAGTGATTGGAAGGATGATTGCGGCTGCCGCCACCACCGGACACGTGAGTGGACCCTTGTTAAGTCCAGGTGTACGGGGATATTCGTATACAATTACCTCCGTGTCTCTTGCTCATTCATAGGGCGGCTGCTAGAAGTCGAAAGTGACCTGATGGCGCATAACGACGTTTTAATTCAGGAGAACTAAACCAATAACTGTTTAGGACGGGAGTCTTAAAAAATCAGCTTTTGCAGGCCCTTCATCTAAGCATCTTGCCTGGCTTATATCTGATTCTTGATCCGTCTTGTTTGGTCTTGATTCCAGCAGACGGGGACACTGCAAGGTTTCTTCCAGAGAAAACTCCCCTTTGTAAACCACCAACTTACACCCTCTTACTGGAGATGCCGTGGCCACCCAGAGCCATCTTCTGCATACGGACACTTTCTGAAGTCAAGGCCCACTCCTGGATTCATCTTATGCAGTGAACTGACGAGGCGTCCCATTCACAGATATGTGCAAGGCGGCAGCCTTAACTAAACTGCTGGAGAGCGCCGTGGTTTAGGTATCCGGTTGGGGAGTCGGAGGTTGGGAGTTCAAATCCCGCACTGTGCAAGGAGCCAGGCCTGCGGCCAGGATGGTGGTGTCGGTAGCGACGGCCGTGGCTTCAAGACGTTAGGGAGGTGACCGCGGCAGAGTGGGTCTCGTGCTTTGCCAAATCAAAACAAAAGGCCGAACAGAAAAAAGATCAGAGCTTCCTTTCGGCAAAACGGGACCCCTGACGCCAACCATGAACCAGCCCAGTTTGGGTGGGTTTTTTTTTCCAGTTCGTGGTTCGGTTCCTGCCCATCTTTAGTCTCAGCATTAAAAAAGATGAATTGGCCCCCTGCACTGAGATGCTGCAAATGAAAAATCTGGAGTTGGGGACAAAACTTTAATGATCGCTGCTTCAGGGAAAGCAGAAAGAAGGTTTCCTTACCCAAACTTAACTCCCCAGTGCAGATGCTCTGGATCTACGCAGATGTTTGTAGAAGAAATAACTCGCCATCTACGTTGACCTGATAGGAGGAAAACGACAATAAGGAATTCTTTGATACAGAAGTCAGGGAACTTAATGCCAGCTCTGCAAACTTTAGCATGGCAACCTCCTATTTTATCATAGCTGTGCACGACGACTCCCCTCTTCTATTTATTATTTATTTATTTAAAATATTTGTACCCTGCTTTTCTCCTTAAAAGGACCCAAGGTGGCTTACATTATTAAAAAGACAGTATTTGAAGCTTTAAACAGTGGGAATATAAAGATTTAAAAAGAATCAAACAAATGCTACAGTAAGAATTGTAAAAAAAAATTAATACCAAAAAAGACATCCAAAAGTAGTAAAGCACAACAATCTATTTTAAAACCGCACTTAGACAGCTAGTCACTGAGATAATTTTTTTTATGAAGAGAAAGGTCTTTGCCTGCTTATGGAAGGACAGCAAAGATGGGGCCAGTCTGGCCTCCAGTGGGAGGGAGTTCCAAAGTCTGGGAGCAGCCACTGAGAAGGCCCTCTCCTCTGTCCTCACCAAGAATGTCTGTTAGATTGATGGAACTGAGAGGCAGTGGAAGACAGAAGGGCCTGGCGTGCTCTGGTCCATGAGGGCACGAAGAGTCGGACACGACTTAACAACTAAATAACAATAATATTTTCAACAACGAAGAGTCGGACACAACTTAAAAACTAAGTAACAACAATATTTAATTTTTTTTCAACATTTTTTATAACCTCCTGGTTTTAGCTTTCAAATATTCTCTTTTGAATGATGTACGCTGGCTTGGGTCTTTTTTAAAGAGAAAGGTGTTGTAACATGTTTTTAATGATACACATAAATAACAGAGCAGACACATGGCATCAATCTCCTGGCTTCATGATACTGCAAGCCGGTCTTTACAAAGGCATTTGTTCTCTCAAAGATATTTAGATGTTTCTTAGGGGGCAAGATCACTGTGGCTGCTTTTTGAGCACTTTCGAAAGTTATCTGGGGAGAAAGAAAAGAAAAACAATGCTTTCCTTACCACAGTTGCGCTAATTGTTTCCACAGAAAGCTCAGTAACTTCCACTTCTTCCGTAACAAAGTCGGAAACTGGCAAAATGATCTGGGTGGTCTCGGTTGTTTGAATATCTAGAGAAAAGGGGGAAATGCCTGGAGGTCAATGACCCGTAAGGTATCGTGCCCGTAGCCCGTGATGGATCCCTGGAGCCGTTTCAGGTGGCCCAGCAGACAAACTGGTTTGGCGCAGCCCTGCCCAACCTAGTGTGGTCCCAGATGCGTTCGAATGCATTTCCGATCATCCCAGCCCATAATATTTGCTCTGGGGATAGGAGCTGCAATGCCAACACATCTGGAGGATAGTGGGTGCCTTAAAGGCCTGGAGGGGGGGGAAGTCCCTTCCTTTCAGCAACGCATTTTACTTTTAAGCCTGCTCAAGCCCTTTGGGGCACGTCAATTATCTGAGACTTACCTTCGTTTTGCATTTATCCCACCCTTTCTTGCATTTATCCCACCCTTTCCAAGAAGTCAAAAAAGCAGCATACAAAGTTACGAAGCCACCACCCCCCGCTGCAAGTTGGGGAACAGTGAGGCACTAAGGCTCACCAGTGCATTTCGCACCTCCATGGGGATGATGATGATGATGATCATCATCATCATCATTATGGGCCATCAAGTCAATTCTGACTTATGGTGGCCCTTTTTCAGGGTTTTCCAGGCAGAGAATACTCAGAAGTGGTTTCCCCTTCCTTTCTTCTGGGGGTGTCTTCTGGGGGACCCCCTTCTTCTGAGGATAGGAAGATACTTTTTCGCCCATCCCAAGTGGTTCCTCTACTTTTCCCCTCCTCCTGCTGCTGCTGCGAGATCCATCTAGAAAAGTATTGATGGCTTTGCCTACCTACACCAGAGCTTCGAGAAAGTTACTTGGAGATGTTCCTAGTGAGTATGCCCCCAAACCCAGTGGCCAAGCTTACTGGGGAATTCTAGAAGCTACTGGCCAAAAATGTAACACCCTCAGTCTCTGCTCTGTATTCAGGAGAAAGCTCCGTGGTTTTAAGGATCTGGCCGTGGAGCCAGAGGTTGGGAGTTCGATTCCCCCACTGGAAATTCCTTGATAAGGGCTGGACTCGGTGATCCATAGTCTCCCTTCCAGCTCTGCCGTTCTAAGATGAGGAGGATGAATACCAGTTGAGTATTCTCCAAGAGGTGCCCATCTGCACCCTTGAAGAGAGGGCAGGGCATGCTTCCCTTCCAGCTCTGCCGTTCTAAGATGATGATGAGGAATTCCAGTTGAGTATTTTCTTATAAAATCCTCCAAGAGGTGTCCATCTGCACCCTTGAAGAGAGGGGCAGGGCAGGGCACCTAACGGCAGGCCGAAGAGACAAATTATTGTCCCCCAGCACCTGCCAAAGGCTACAGAAGAGACCAACAATATGGAAGTGCCCAGATACCAGCTCTGCCGTTCTAAGATGATGATGAGGAATTCCAGTTGAGTATTTTCTTATAAAATCCTCCAAGAGGTGTCCATCTGCACCCTTGAAGAGAGGGGCAGGGCAGGGCACCTAACGGCAGGCCGAAGAGACAAATTATTGTCCCCCAGCACCTGCCAAAGGCTACAGAAGAGACCAACAATATGGAAGTGCCCAGATACCTACTTTTGGTTTGGTTTGGGGTTTTTTGAGGGGTTTAGGCATGTCTACAGCCAATGCCACTGCTCTCAGGTGCCAACAGAAGCACTAAGTCTGCCCTTCCCTCCCTCTTTTTCTTTCCCTCTTTTCAGTTTTGTTGAACGGCGGAGGTGGTGCCGGGGTCAAGAAGGGTGCTTTCTGCCCACTCCAGCACCAGGGCTCCTAGGAGGGACTGGGCTTGGGTTGAGGAAAACATTTAACCATGAAGCATTGCCGTACTGGCCAAGAATCTTCTTACACGTTGACACCAATGGCATCACGGTTCATTTTCGTGACGCATTGCCACCAGTTAAGAAACCCCTGTTTGCTTTCCTTATTAAGCAAAGCAAAGCAAAGCATGCTGCTTATGTGCTGCCCCATAGTGCTTAAAGCACTCTCTGGGCGGTTTGCAATTTAATTATGCACGGTACACATTGCTTCCCCCAGCAAACCTGGGTACAGTGGTGCCTCGCACAGCGAGGTTAATCCGTTCCGGATTAACCCTCGCTGTGTGAAAACATCACTGAACGTTTAATGCGTTTCAATCGGCTGATTTACTCACCGTTCAGCAATGTTTTGCAATGGCTGGCAGCCATTTTCGTGCCCTCCCCTTGCTTAACGAGGGCGCGAAAATGCTGCGCGCGGCCATTTTGGGGCTTCCGGTCTCTGTGGCCGGCATCTTTCGAGGACAGCAAACTGTCCAGAGGACCAGAGCACAGATGCCGGCCACAGAGACTGGCGAAACGTTAGGAAAAACCACCTTCAGAACACGGCCAAGAAGCCCGAAAAACCCACAACAACCATTAGATCCCGGCCGTGAAAGCCTTTGCGAATACACAGGGTACACATTGCTTCTCCCAGCAAACCTGGGTACTGAATTTACCAACCTCAAAAGGATGGAAGACTGAGCGAACCTCCAGCCGGCTACCTGTGACTGAACCTGGGACGCGAGCAGAGTTTTAGCCGCAGCGCTGCAGTTTAGCCACTGTGCCCCGAGTCACAGATGTGTGACAAACCATGCCAATTTTGTCAGTGGTGCCAATTCCCGGCTGAAAGTTACGCTGTTGGAGTTATGCTCCTCGAGGCCAGTCACAGGATTCCAGCCAGTGTGAAACAAGTACATCGGGCTAATATGCCTTTGTGATAAGGTGCAACAGACAAAAATCTATGGGCCAATTCCATACATTTTTGCTATTGTATTCAAGAGGAGGTTTTAAAATAACATCATGGCTCCTAAACTCTGCCCGCCCTGTCCATTTTTTAACCCTAAGGAAAACAAAGCCTTTTCTTATTTCTTTCACCTGGATGTTTGGGGGTTGGGGGGGGGGGGTCATCCAGTGTAATAGTGTGCTTTTCTCCAAGAAGGGATATTTGAATTTTTAGAATTATTAGAATTTTGAGCAAGGGGGCTTATCCACAAAAGCTCACATTAAAATACAGCAGCTAATCTTCAAGGTGCTGCAACGTTTTTGTCTTCTTTATAGCCGCCTAGAGTGGTCTGGTAGTCCAGATAGGCAGGGTATAAATCAAATAAATAATAATAAATAATAATAATAAATAAATAATTCTTTATTTTTAATTCATCTTTTGGTTTGGCCTGAAATGCTGGAACAGGCTAACAGGGCTCCCTTTTCTAAATTTTTTACCTTCATCAATTAAGTTTCCTTTATTTTTAATTTGTCTTTTGGTTTGGCCTGAAATGCTGGCACAGGCTAACAGGGCTCCCCCTTCTAAATTTTTTTACCTTCATCAACTAAGTCTCTTTCTTAAAGAAATAATCCCTACAGATGTTTGCTAATTTTATCAGATTTTGGGAAGAAAAAAAAACACCACACAAAATACTGAGGGAATATCCTCCTGTGTTTACCCTCACCTGCTCCGGCAGCCACTCACCTGCATGGGTCCGTTCATGTCGCCGGAGCTGGGACCGCCTAATGAATTTTTTCTCGCACTGCGAGCACTCGTAGGGCTTCTCCCCCGTGTGAGTCCTCTGGTGGATGAGAAGGGACACCTTCAGTTTGAAGGTTTTCCCACAATCAGAGCAAGTGTACGGGTTCTCCTTGCTGTGGGTGGCCTTGTGGGCTTCCAAGGAGGCCTTCTGGTTGAAGCTTTTCCCGCACTCGGGGCAGGTGAAGGGCTTTTCCCCCGTGTGGATCCTCTGGTGCCTGGCCAGGTTGCTCTTATTGTGGAAGCTTTTCCCGCACACCATACATAAAGAGGGCTTCTCTCCTGTATGTACTCTCTGGTGCGTGTTGAGGGACGACTGCTGGCTGAAGCATTTCCCGCACTCGGTGCAACGGTACGGTTTTTCTCCCGTGTGAGTCCTCTGGTGCATGATGAGGTGACATTTGGAGTGGAAGGTTTTGCCGCAGACCATGCACAGGTGAGATCTCTCTTTGGCTGGGGCCCTTTGGTCTGCACCCAGGGGATCTCCCCCATTTAGACTTTTCTTGGGGGACTCCCTGGGCTTCTCTCCTCGGTGCATCCTCAGGTGCAAAAGGTAGCCGCCGTTCCGTTTGAACCGCTTCCCGCACTCGGGGCAGACGTACGGCTTCTCTTTGCTGTGCGTGGGCTCATGAGCAACCAGACACACTTTCTGAATGAAACTTTTCCCACAGATGGGACAGGAGTACGGCTTCTCCCCGGTGTGGATCTTCGTGTGCCTCATCAGGTTGCCTTTATTCGCAAATCTCCTCCCGCACACGGTACACAAGTACCTCCTCTCCCCCGTGTGCACGATCTTGTGTTTACTCAGGGCCTGTTTTTTAATGAAGCTCTTCCCGCACTCCGGGCACTGGAAGGGCCTCTCTCCCGTGTGGAGCCTCTTATGGACCACAAGCGACACTCGGCTCATGAAGCTTTTCCCGCATTCAGGGCATTGATAGGGTTTTTCTCCTTTGTGGGCTCTTTCGTGCAACAAAAAGCTTCGTCTCCACCGGAAGCTTTTGCCACAGATTGAGCACTGATAGATCCTCTCTCGAGCAATGACGGCTGTTTCGTGAGCACTTTTCTTGTGCTTGGTCAGGTTGTTCCTGTACCGGAAGCTTTTCCCACACTCCGGGCACTGGTAAGGCCTCTCCCCCGTATGGATCCTCTCATGCAAAGCCAGGCGATGTTTCCAATAGAAGCTTTTGTCGCAGTGGGAGCATTTGTGGGGCTTCTCTCCCCGATGGCGCTTTTCATGACCGGTCAAGGCACATTTTGTTTTGAAACTCTTGCCACATTCAGGGCACAGGAACGACTTCTTTCCCCCGTGGGTGTTTTGGTGGACAACGAGCGCCGCTTTCCCATTGTAGCGCTTGCCGCATTCTGGGCACTCGTACGGCCGCTCGTCGGTGTGCATCCTCTCGTGCTCCACGAGGGAATATTTGAAAATGAACGTTTTGCTGCACTGCGAGCAAGCATAGGGCCTCTCTCGGGTGTGAGCCCTCACCCTGTGCGCATTCAGATACTTCTCAAGAGTAAAGCTCTGGTCACAATCCGAGCACTTGTACAGCTTCTCAGCTGTGTGGATTCTCTTGTGTATCCTAAGTAAGGATTTTTGGTTGAAGGTTTTCTCACACAAAGGGCAGGAGTAAGTCTCTCCTGCGTGGATCTTCTGGTGGATAGCCAAGGATGTTTTCCATGGGTAGCTTTTCCCACACTCAAGGCATTTATAGGGTTTCTCGCCAGTGTGTATCCTCCGGTGAGTCACAAGGGACATCTCATGGGTGAAGCTTTTTCCACAGTCAGGACACTGATGAGGCTTGTCTCCCGTGTGAGTTTTCTCATGCTCTGTAAGCCGTTCTTTCTTGTTGAACTTTTTCTCACATTTCGTGCATTCGTATCGCTTGTCTCCCGGGTGAGACCGCCTGTGTTCGAGAAGGAGCGATTTATCACTGAAGCTCTCCCCACATTTCGAGCACCCATAGGGCTTCTCTTCGACGGGCGATCCTTCAGGGAGAGTAAGGTTCAGATTTTGGGAACCATCAGCTTCAGCCTCTTCCAGGGACATTCCACCAACATCTACCTCCTCAGGTCTTTCCAGCTGACCGTTTTCGTCTCTGTCCTTCTGTATCTGGTCATTCTCTGCTAGATTAACGAAAGAATTAGGATTACAGCTGGAGGGGCGTCAAGTGTTTTCGATTTTAAAAAAAGCCCTCTGCCAAATTCTCTAAACACTGCCCCAAAGCTTCTATAAAAGAGCAATTTGGTAGAACTGGACCATAGGTTGCCCCCAAACTAGAAGGCTGATTTGTCCCTTAAAATTTGAGACAATTCCAAATTTCCCCAAAATCTTCTCACCAAAAGTAAAGGGCAATTTTCTCTAAATTAAAAAATGGGGTTTTTGCCCTTATAGACTTGCAGGAGTTACAATTTTGCCTTAAAGCAAGGCGTGTCTCCCTTTGCTTTACCTAATCTGTCTAAAGGTCTTTGTTTCTTATAGGTTCAGGAGATGGGAAAATAAACTACAGTCGTGCCCTGCGTAACTATTGCCCCGTATAATGACGAATCCGCTTTACAACGATGTTTTTGCGATCACAATTGCGATTGCAAAACGATGTTTTTAATCTGTCTAAAGGTCTTTGTTTCTTATATTGGTTCAAGAGACGGAAAATAAATTATGTTTGCTCACCTCTGTACTTTGCAAGCGTTTCGGAAGCACACTTCGATCCCCACCGTTCAAAGAGATGCCCAACAATAATAAAACATAATTAAAAATGGCAGGTATTTATCACCTTTATGAGAGAAGGACACGCCACAAAGGAGGTGCCACCAATCGAAAGGCCCTGCTTTGGACGACCAGAGTGCAAGTTTGAGCACGCAGAACCACTAAGGGCTTCAATGAGACAGAAGCTATGGCTTGTCAACTTCATGGCTCTGCCTTGCTTTTTTTTAAAACGGATCTTCGCTGGACGGTGCGTTTTCAGCCCATTGGAACGCATTGAACAGTTTTCAGTGCATTTCAATGGGCTTTTTTATTTTGCTTTACGTTTTCGCTCTACAGCGATTTCACTGGAACGAATTAACTTCGTTAAGCGAGGCAGCACCGTATGTTTGCCCACCTCTGTACTTTGCAAGCCTTTCGTTCCCCACCTTTTATGCCAGCAAGTTTGGAAAACTCAGCAGTGGCCAGAGGACTGGAAAAGATCAGTCTATATCCCAATCCTAAAGAAGGGCAATGCCAAAGAATGCTCCAACTACCGTACAATTGCACTCATTTCACATGCTAGCAAGGTTATGGTCAAAATCCTACAAAGTAGGCTTCATCAGTATGTGGACCAGAACTCCAGAAGTACAAGCTGGATTTTGAAGGGGCAGAGGAACTAGATACCAAATTGCTAACATGTGCTGAATTATGAAGAAAGCCAGAGAGTTCCAGAAAAATATCTACTTCTGCTTCATTGACTATGCAAAAGCCTTTGACTGTGTGGACCACAACAAACGATGGCAAGTTCTTAAAGAAACGGGAGTGTCTGACCACCTTATCTCCTGAGAAATCTATATGTGGGACAGGAAGCAACAGTTAGAACTGGTCATGGAACAACTGATTGGTTCAAAATTGGGAAAGGAGTACGCCAAGGCTGTATATTGTCTCCCTGCTTATTTAACTTATATGCAGAATGCATCATGCGAAAGGCCGGTCTGGAGGAATCCCAAACCGGAATTAGGATTGCCAGAAGAAATATCAACAACTTCAGATATGCAGTTGATACTACTCTGATGGCAGAAAGTGAGGAGGAATTAAATAACCTCTTAATGAGGATGAAAGAGGAGAGCACAAAAAACAGTCTGAAACTTAACATCAAAAAAACTAAGATCAAGGCCACTGGTCCCATCACCTCCTGGGAAATAGAAGGGGAAGATATGGAGGCAGTGACAGATTTTACTTTCTTGAGCTTCATGATCACTGCAGATGGTGACAGCAGCCCCGAAATTAAAAGACCCCTGCTTCTTGGGAGGAAAGCAATGACAAACCTAGACAGCATCTTAAAAAGCAGAGACATCACATTGCCAACAAAAGCCCACATAGTCAAAACAATGGTTTTTCCAGTAGTGATGTATGGAAGTGAAAGCTGGACCATAAAGAAGGCTGGCCGCGAAGGAATTGGTGCTTTGCAACTGTGGTGCTGGAGGAGACTCTTGAGAGTCCCCTGGACTGCAAGATGAAACCCATCCATTTTGAAGGAAATCAACCCTGAGTGCTCACTGAAAGAACAGATCCTGAAGCTGAGGTTCCAATACTTTGGCCATCTCATGTAAAGAGAAGACTCCCTGGAAAAGACCCTGATGTTAGGGAAGTGTGACGGCAAGAGGAGAAGGGGACAACAGAGGATTAGATGGATGGGCAGTGTCATCGAAGCGACCAACATGAACTTGACCCAACTCCGGGAGGCAGTGGAAGACAGGAGGCCCTGGCGTGCTCTGGTCCATGGGGTCACGAAAAGTCGGACACAACTTAATGACTAAACAACAAATTAAATACCCAACATTTTAAATATCATGCTATTAATTATTCTTTTTAATATTTGGATAGTTTTACTTTAGCTTTCAATATTGCACTTTTGAATAAGAAACCTGGGCAAAAATATTGTAATTAAATAAGCAAAAAATATATATGCACAAACATTCATTCGCTGTCGTACCGATGGAAGCTAAATCTTCAGAGCAAAGATTCGTGTGGCATTAAGCAGGGACGAGAGAGACGATAAAGCCAAAATAACATAATAATAAATGTTTCCTGATTACAAAAGTGAAGAAATCGCAGCAGTTTGAAGAAGATTATAATGGTGACCACTGAAAGTTTTCACTGGTGGCCACATTGGCTTCACTTCAGCAACACTTTGAAATATTCTTATTTATTTATTAAACACTTTGGGGACCAGGGAACCTTGGCCTCCCTGAGTTTGAATGCAGTGGCTTGAATGTTTTGCTTTCATTCTCTTTTAGCTTGGGAATCCTTGGGAGATGTAAATAAATAAATAAAATAACACTTTTCCAAGCCCTGATGAAGCCTGACAACAGGGAGCAATGTCCGTCCACCCACAGGGAATGGCTTTACTATAGGTTTTAATCTGATATCTGTATAGCGTCTTTAAAATGTTTCTAATTATTTATTACTTCGCTTTTAACTTTGTTTCTTTTAAAACTATATGCCACCTTGGATCCTTTAGGAAAGGCGGCATATAAATATTTTAAATAAAAAATAAAATAAACAAGTGACATATAAATATTTTAAATAAATGATTCTATTTTTTACAAAAGACTTATTTGGCTTGATTCATCCTGAAGTGTGCAGAATTCAAGGGAAATGGATTTTGTTCCCAAAGGATACCTCCAATCATCATGTATTTTCAAAGTACCTTTATAAATTGATTGATTTGATTTATATACTGCCCCATTAGTGTGAAGCACTTTTCAGGGGCGTTCACAATAGATAAAACATACAACAACAATAGATTAAAAAACATTTGGCTTGATTCATCCTGAAGTGTGCAGAATTCAAGGGAAATGGATTTTGTTCCCAAAGGATACCTCCAATCATCATGTATTTTCAAAGTACCTTTATAAATTGATTGATTTGATTTATATACTGCCCCATTAGTGTGAAGCACTTTTCAGGGGCGTTCACAATAGATAAAACATACAACAACAATAGATTAAAAAACACAATTTTAAAGCACATGTCAACATGAACTGCACTTAGTACTTGAGGCTCCACCCTCTCTAGCGAACGAACGAACGAACGAACGAACCCAGGCAGCTTCCATCATTAAAAGCATACGAAAAGCTTTTAAAAAAGCCCAAAAAGGGTCAGTGATTCAAATATTTGAAAAAGAAGTAGTAACTTTCATATTAAATTTTTAGATAAAAGTTTAGTCTGTCCCTCAAATCCAGACAGGCTTCATTTTGACCAACCAGGCCCAGTCCGGTGGGGTGCGGGGGAGGCTCAGGCATCTTTTTATCTGATTCAATGGTATTTATGAAAAACAACTCCAAAGTTATTCTTTGAATTCTCCCCCTTTCTGACAGACCCCAAAAGGCTATTATACTTTAAAATCCCCCCCCCTCAAAAAATAAAACTCAGTAAAACCCAGCGGGTGTATACAAAACCGAGCAACCATATTCAGGCCTACCAAGCCCTGGATGACAAAATCACTAACTGGGCAATCCTATATGTGCAGAATCCGAATCAGCCCCCATGGAGTTCAATGAGAAGTTAATGGGCAGTCAAGTCGTTTTTGACTCAGGGAAACCTCTAAAACATCCCATCTTTAACTGCCCTCCTCAGTTCTTGCAAGTTCTAGGTAGTGACTTCCTTGATGCAGTCAATCCATCTCACATTAGGCCTTCCTCATTTTCTGTGGCCTTCCACCTTTCCCAGCATTATCTTCTTTTTTCCAGAGTTCCATTTATTCCCCCCAAGATGTGCCCAAAAGCAGGACAGCTACAATTTAGTCATGGTCATTCCTATTGAGCGTTCAGGCTTCATCAGATCTAACGCCCCCTGATTTGTCTTCCTGGCAGTTCATGAGATACAGAAATCTCTCCTCTAATCCCATATCTTGAATGACTTGATTTTTTTTTTTTAACTCGTCAGATCAATAGTTCCCGGATTTCTTCAACCCTTCATGTCATTCTTAAAATAAAATGTCAAGTTAGAGCCAAGCTTAGACTGTAGGAAATTTTTTTTGTTTAATTTCTGTCACATGGACACTTTGTGGTTCTGATCTATGTCACTCACTCACTTTTTTAAAAAAATCAGATTGCTACCATTTTATTCTCCCAAAATTATATTAAGGGCTGAGATCTTTTACACAGTCCTCTACAAAATAATTTTATTATTGCAGCAGTACCGTTTAGGGTTATGTCAGGCTGACGGAAAGGGGTTCCCACCTGCCCCAAATTCACCCAGTTTAACCCACTAAGTGGGAACCAGAACTGGCATTTCTTCAGACCAGTCTGACCCAGTACGCCAGGACGACCTGCGGCCTTCCAGAGGCTGGTGGACTTCAATTCCCATTAGCCCTTGCCAGCACCATCTGCGGTGAGGCATGCTGGGAGTTGCAGTCCAACATTCCATCCAGGAACCATCACCACCCCACTCTAACCACTACCCTGCTGGCCCTCACAAAGCTCTATTTGCTTCTTTCCTTTCTCCTTGAATCCCGTGCCCTGCCCTGCATCCTTAATGGGTCCCTACTTTCAGCAACCTCGACCACAGAGGAGATGCTTTCCAGAGACACTGCTTCTTCCAACAACACGCGACTTTCCTTTTGAGCCTCTACCGTCTGGCCCTCTTTCACGGCCCCATCTTCTGGAGAACAGAAGGAGGGGGGAAAATGAGAATCCTAAAAGGAGATGTTTGTCCCATTTCTCTCAAATAAATGAAAGAAACAACAGAAAGCAAAGCTGTGTGCTGGAGGAACAATTTCGGAGTTTTCACATAAGGGTTTCTTTAGCAGATTTTAAATGCCATGTTCCTGCATGAGTGCAAACAAAGCCAATTTTGGAGAAAAGCATAGTCCTCCCATAGGACTAGCAGCTTAGGAGCCTCGTGGCGCAGCGGTTAAACTGCAGTACTGCAGGGAAGGCTCTGCTCACCACCTGAGTTTGATCCCAGCGGGCTCTGGTAGCCGGCTTGAGGTTCACTCAGCCTTCCATCCACTTGAGGTCAGTTCACTGAGTATCCAGCGTGCTGGTCAGGGAAGGCTCTGCTCACCACCTGAGTTTGATCCCAGCGGGCTCTGGTAGCCGGCTCGAGGTTCACTCATCCTTCCATCCACCTGAGGTCAGTTCACTGAGTATCCAGAGTGTTGGGGTGTGCATGCAAGCAATGTGAAGCATGCATAATTAAATTGTAAACTGTCCAGAGACAGGTTTAAACACTGTGGCATGGTATATAAGCAGGATCTTTGCTTTGCAGGCTCAGCAATCAACATTTCAGCTAGCGTAAAAAAAAAGTGAAAAGAGCACAACGTTTGTTGATGAACAGGATAGAAGCTTAACTGTTTTAAATAATGCATTCACTGATACAGTATTTCTTTATGTTCCAAGCACAATCTTGCGTATTTTATGAAGCACCCTATACACAAGATCAAATGCCAATGTGTACTGGCTAGAGTGTTAAGCTAGGACTCAAAACACTTGGGTTCATATCTCCACTCAGCTATGGAAACTTAGTGGATTGGGGGTGTCAATGCTAACTCATTCCTTGAACACTGAACGTGGTTGCACGTAACTCAGAAGTGACTTGGCCATGGGTAACAGCAACACAGAAAAGCTTACATAAAGAAATCCATAGAATATGTAGTGATGAAGACATCCTTTTTATTTGTGGATGCACAAAAGGAGGTGACAAGACAATACAGTGGTGCTCGCTTAATGACATCAATTTGTTCCAGCAAAATCATTGTAGAGCGAAAACATCGTAAAGCGAAAATAAAAAACCAAACGAAACACATTAAAACCCAGTTAATGTGTTCCAATGGGCTAAAAACTCACCATCCAGCGAAGATCCTCCACACGGTGGCCATTATCGGTGCCTGTATAGCGAGAAATCTGTCCTAAAACACAGCGGGGAGCTATTTTGAGCAGCCGGCGGCCATTTTGAAGCCGCCGATAAAATCGTCGTAATGCGAAGAATCGGTTCCCGAAGCAGGGAACCAATCATTGCAAAGCGGATTTTTTGCCATTAAAACATTTGTTTTGCGATCGCAAAACAGTCATCGTATAGCGGTTTCATCGTTTAACAAAGCAATCGTTAAGCGAGGCGCCACTGTATTTTAAAAAAGAATCTTACCCACTGGGGTGGCATTTCCATCCATTTTCTCAGAGATCCTCATGTTTGAGGCTTTCACTCTGTCGGTGGAATAATCAACCACGGCTTCCTAAAATAGGACAGAAACGGCAAAGGAACACAAGTGGAAAAAATAGTATAGAAGGATTAGAAATGGAAAACACGGAGTGAATTATTTTCCCTCAGATAAGAATTACTGAGAGGTTTGGGGACCCCCCAGCATGCATGAATTGTCTTATATCTGTGCTAAATGAGAGAATTAAAAGCAGGGAAGGTCCCTTCCAGCAGACTTGAAAATCAGGCGCACGGCTCCATGAAAGACCTCATCCTTTGTACACTGAAGGTGCCGGGATTACTTCCTGGATCCCAAATTAAAAAGGATTTCAGGCAGTAGGGAAGGTCCTGCCCACCACCTTCTTTGCCTCAGACCCCAGAAAGTCGTGGCAGGGTAGACTCCACAAGGCAAAACGGATAAATAGGCTGGACTCGCTTCTGGGCAGCTCCCTGGGTTCCTCTTAATAAAGCTAAGAGGGACACCCGGCCATGATATTTATTTCTGTATGTTTACTCTTTTCTCTCCACTGTACAACATACAAGGAAGTCTATACCGTTCCCAGCCAGCCAGCCAGCCATTATACCTTCACAACAACCTTGTGAGGTAGAGTAGACCAAAGGATATGGACAGGACCACAGTCATTCCTGTGAGCCTGGGTGGGGATGTAACAGGGATTTTAACCCAGATCTCCACAAGCTTAATCTGACATTTCAGTGTTGGGATGGGTTACTCTGGAAGTGATGGGGGGAGAGGTGGCAATTTGCACTGAAATGCAGTGGTGCCTCGCATAGCGAGGTTAATCCATTCTGGATTAACCTTCGCTATGGCGAAACATCGCTGTACGGAACGTAAAAGCCCATTGGAACTCATTAAACTTAGTTTAATGCGTTCCAATAGGCTGCAAAACTCACCGTTCAGCGAGGTTGCTCCATTGCGGCAGCCATTTTCGCGCCATTGGTAAGTGAGGGGAGGGCGCGAAAACGCTGCGCGCGGCCTTTTCGGGGCTTCCGGCAGCCATTTTGGAGCCGCCAAACAGCTGATCCGGGGCATCGCTTTGCGAAGATCTGTAAGCGAAACGCTTACCGATCTTCACAAAGCGATTTTTGCCCATAGGGGCCATCGGTATGCGATCGCATTTGCGATCGCTAAAACCTAATCGCGATTTCATCGTTCTACGGTGCGCTCATTAAGCAAGGCACCACTGTACATGAAAAACAAGCAAAGATGAAAAACTTACCACTGGCTTCTTTCAATTTCAGTTGCATTTTTTAAAAATTGTGATGTGATGATTGGGATTTGGGCCTCCTACAACCTATTCCATGGCAAAATGTCTATTCCTGGAAGTTGGCAGGAGTGAAAAAAACCAAACCAAACCATGGGAGTTTGGGAATTTCCTCCCCGTCCCAAAGGGGTGCATTCTGCTTTCTCCAGCCACTACTGATTTTGTACAGCATAGCCCCCTCCTGCCATCTCAGCTAACCTGTACTTGTGGCATGAAATCCAGAACTGGCACTTCCCCAACATCTGCCAAACCTCTGGGGTGGATACCCTCAATGAATTTCTAGAATGATCACTGATTCCACAGTGAACTGGAGCCTTTTTGTGGCACAGTGGTTCAACTGCAGTTGTTGTTGTCTAGTCGTTAAGTCGTGTCCGACTCTTCGTGACCCCATGGACCAGAGCACGCCAGGCCCTCCTGTCTTCCACTGCCTCCCGGAGTTGGGTCAAATTAATGTTAGTAGCTTTGATGACCCTATGCAACCATCTCATCCTCTGTCATCCCCTTGTCCTCTTGCCCTCACACTTTCCCAACATCAGGGTCTTTTCCAGGGAGTCTTCTCTTCTCATGAGATGGCCAAAGTACTGGAGCCTCAGCTTCAGAATCTGTCCTTCCACTGAACACTCAGAGTTGAATTCCTTCAGAATGGATAGATTTGTTCTCCTTTTGGAGTCCAGGGGACTCTCAAGAGTTTCCTCCAGCACCACAACTGCAGTACTGCAGCCCAAACTCCACTCACAACCCGGCTTCAATCCCAGGTAGCTGGCTCAAGGTCGACTCAGCCTTCCATCCTTCTGAGGTCAGTAAATTGAGCACCCAGCCAGCAAGGAAGGAGCAATGGGTAGCCTGCATAATTAAACTGTACACCACCCAGAGAGTGCTCTTTAAGCGCTATGGGGCAGTTTGTAAGCAGCACAATTTCTTTTAGCTTTCACTGTTTTTGCTACCAGGAAGTTTTTCCTAATGAACAGCCAAAAGAGGTGTATCCTTCAGTCTTGTGAACCAGCCTGCCAGGGGCTTATTTGAAAAGAGAGAGAGAAATTACACAAGTAACCAATACATCTTGATGAGAAATGGGCATGAACCTTGATTCGGAGGTCCAGCCCAATTTTCTTGCACAGGTGTTGTGCAGGCCCGGCACCCTCCTGCTCTCCCCTGCAGGTTTGCCCACCCAAAGGCGCGCTGCAGGAATCCTTGCCCTGCCTCCTCATCTAAGTTGGTGGAAGAGCAAGCTGCCAAAGGTGGGTGGCCAGTCGCACTGGGGAGGCAGGGAGGAATGAGCAAGCATGCAGGGGAGGCAGATGAACACAGGGATGAATTGGACCAAACCTCATAACTGAGATTTGGGCCCATTTCCCATCTTGATATCAAGGAACAATCCATGGTCAATATTTAACATGGCATGGCATGCTCCTGTCAATGCACTGGAAGAATTAAAAGCACCACGGTTCCCCACCTCTTCCATCCGCTGTCTCTTTAGGAAATCTTCTGCCAGGGCCACGGCATCCTCACAGGTTGCCGGCCCCCCTTCCTTGACGTAGCCCTGCATCTCCTGGGGCAGGATGGCCAGAAACTGCTCCAGGATCACCAGCTCCAGCATCTGCATCTTGGTGTGCTTGCCCGGCCTGAGCCACTGCTGACAAAGGTCCCAGAGTCGGCTGCAGACCTCGTGGGGCCCTTCGACCTCCTGGTAGCGAAATTCCCGGAAATGCTGACGCTGAACCTCAGAGCTGTTTGTGTCTTCCTCGGGGTCGTCGTGTTTTCTTCCTTGCGCATTTTCTCGCTGGGCCCTAGCCAGAAACAGACGAAGGCTTTTCCTTGACTCTGTGACTATGGCGCTCTGGTCCTGCACAGAAGTTACTCGGAGGTCCAGGGCAGAAGCTAAAGAGGGAAAACACCAAAAATTATATATTTGTTAACATTATTTGTAGAGTGGTGCCTCGCTTGACGATGTTAATTCGTTCCAGCGAAATTGCTGTAGAGTGAAAACATCGTCAAGCGAAATAAAAAACCCCATTGAAACGCATTGAAAACCGGTTCAATGCATTCCAATGGGCTGAATACCTGCTGGTCCAGTGAAGATCCTCCATATGGCGGCCATTTTCGGTGCCTGTATAGTGAGGAATCCATCCTAGAAAACAGCGGGGGGCCATTTTGAAAGCTGGTGGCCATTTTGAAACCCGACGATCAGCTCTTTGCTGATTGTCATAAAGCGAAAAAGTGTTCCTGAAACAGGGAACTGATCAACCTGAAGCAAAAAACCCAATCTAAACATCGTTTTGCGATCGCTTTTGTGATTGCAAAAACTTCAACATTAAGCGGATTCGTCGTTAGATGGGGTAATCGTCCAGCAGGGCACAACTGTACTCTGCTCTTTTTCAGTTACGTGTCATCAAGTTGGGCCTCACTTATAGCGACCCTATAGCTTTCAAAGGAAGCGAGAGTTTTAAGGAATGGTTTTACTAGTTCCACAAATCTCCCCAGTGAGTTTCCGTGGCTCCATGAGGATTCGTACCCTGGTCTCCAGAGTCCTAATCCATCACTGTCCACTACACCACACGGAGTCCCGAAGGGTCAGGAGCTTTCCAAAACTCTCCGGGCGATTTCATGAGCTCTATGAAGCAAAAGGCGGAAGGCAGCAAAAAAAAAAGGACAACCAAATACAAGATGGGTTGACTCCTTAAAGAAGTCACAGGCTGGAGAGTCTACTAAAGTTGAGTGGTTTGTTGAGGACACAAAATGTTGGAGATCTCTCACTGAAATCGGAGGTAACTCGACAGTGCATAAAAACAAGAACAACGTGAAGCGCAATTTGTTTAACTTTACCTGGGATGGTGGAAGTGGAATAAGAATGTTCCAGGGTTATGATGTCGCTCGTGGAAGAAGGCGCTTCCATGTCACTGCTTCTGATCTCCGGGGGGCTGCTTGGTTTGGGATCCGGCGTCTTATGCCTGACGAGGCTCTGTCTTTTTTTAGCATTTCCCTTTTTAGCACCCTGTGGGAGAATATAATCAAACGTACAGCCTGCCTTTATTGGTTCTTATAGGACATCAAGATAACAATGTTGGGAGGTGTGCAGACGTAGGATTTTGGATGTCAACTCCCAGCTGCCTGGGGAATCCTGGGATCTGTAGTCCAAAAACACCAATAGGAAACACACCTATATTTAGAATGGCTCAGTGGTTTGTTTAGGCACCTGGCTGCAGAACCAGAAGTCAAGAGTTCGATTCCCCACTTGTATCTGCTCAATAGGGGGCTGGACTGGATGACCCGTAGGCCCCCTTCCATCTCTGCCGTTCTAAGATTGTTATAATAAGATTATTAAGAATAATATCATTCTTGGTCCAAACCAAGGATCTCGCGTCGTCAAAGCCGTTAAGGCCTTCAGTTAATTTTCTCGGCCTTCAATAAAAATGAACCAAATAATCAGGGCTGGCTGCAGCAAGAGATGGTGCCTTAGCTCAGCACTTGAAGGGTGCACTCCCCCCGCCCTGGTCATGTTCTACCTTCACCTTGCATCCTCAACATCCCACATGGAAACATTTTATTGCAAGTGTGGCATCTCCATTTCTTAAAGATTCCTCAGCAAAGGGCCACCAAGCTTCCCACCTCCTTGCAGAAGATGATTAAGCGAATAACATTAAATCTACAAAAAGTGATTTAACAACCGGGAAAAGATCCAGCGCGCTCCTCTTGTAAAACCACCATGACGGTGCTTACCCGTTTCGGTCGGCCGGACATCCTAAAAATGGTGGGGACCGCTCTGGGCTTTAGATCCCTTCTCCCGGAGGCCACATTCCCCCAAAAATCTATTTTTCTGAAATGCTCCGAGCATACGACGTCATTGTACGATGGAGTGAAGTTCGGCCTCCCGATGTTTGCGAGCCATTTCTTTAACTGGTCTTCCTTTGTGAGGGGAAACCTAAAACAATGTTGGTGATTTCGTTTTTAAAAAGCATGTTTTAGATACTCCACTACAGACGGGATTGAATGCTAAAAGAAGGGAAAAGTAAATACAGTAGGACCCCCTTATTCCTAGGATCAGTACAGACGGGATTGAATGCTAAAAGAAGGGGAAAGTAAATACAGTAGGACCCCCTTATTATTCACTGATCCAGAGTATGAAGATATTAAAAATAGTAAAACAGAAAAAACCTAGAAATACTGTACAGTGGTGCCCTGCATAGCGACGTTAATCCATTCCGGATTAATCGTCGCTATCCGGAAACATCGCTAAACGGAACTAAAAACCCCATAGGAATGCATTAAACTTTGTTTAATGCGTTCCTATGGGGCCCAAACTCATTGTGCAGCGAAGATCCTCCATAGCACCGCCATTTTTGCCGCCTCGGTAAGCGAGGAAATCGTGTGAAAATGCTTGCGGTAGCCATTTTGGTCTCCCGGCGGCCATTTTGGAACCGCGATCAGCTGTTCTAAAAACATCGCAATGCGAAGATCATCGCAACACGATGTTTTCCCATTCAAATCATCGCAATGCGATCGCATTAGCGATTGCAAAAAATAAATCGCTATGCGGATTTGTTGTTAAACTGTGCACTTGTTATGCGAGGCACCACTGTACAGTATCTGTTTCTAAAGATGATGTTCTCAGAAACTCTGGCCAGAACTGGCCACTAGAGGGAGTCAAAGACGCTGCTATGTATAGAGTTTGGCATCAAAATAGCATTTGCTATAATCCACATTTTTCAGCATCCGTGGGGAGACTGGGAACTGATTTCCCACGTATATGGGGGTCCTACTGTAATTTTGTCACAGCCTGTACAGTAACAAAGGGAAACCACTGTTTCATGCTACTTTTTAAAAATTCAATCGGAACAGAACAGCAAATGACAGTATGACTTCTCTTTATGTCCAAATCCACCCCTACGGTTTGTTAGCCAGCCACAAACAAGGATTAGAAAACCATGGTTTGGCGTTAGCTGGCCAGTTGAAACCAGGTTTACAGTTACAATGGGGGGGAATAAAAGAAGTCCAGAACTTAAAACAGCTGCTTTTGTGGAGGACAACTTCCAGTATCCCACCCCCAGCAGATGCCAGGTGGAGGTGTTTTCTGAAAGAGTAGCTTTCCCAAATGCTGGTTTGCATTCACAGCTGAAGCAATAAACCATGGGAAATATAAACTACGGCTTAGCAAGATATGCAAATGCAACCAATGCCTGCGAAACCATGGCTAATATAAAGCATAGCTTGGTGTGATGTGCAAATGTGACCAATGCTTGCCAAATCAGGGCTAATATAAACCATGGTTTAATATGACTTGCAAATGCAAACAATGCCTACCAAATCATGGCTAATAATGTAAACCTGGGGTTCTCCACAGGGCCACAGAGGCAAATCTCCTCCCCCCCCCGCACATGCAGAAACATGCACACCCCTCCCATGCATGCATGACCCCCCCCACCTGCACACTAAACTGGTCCAGGGAGGCAAAAAGGTTGGGGACCACTGAATTGTAAACCATGGCTTAGCAGGATATGCAAATATGATCAATGCCTGTCAACACACCATGTAAATAATGTCCTCTGCTTACCTGTGAAAGGTGACGCGACTGCCTCGCCAGCGCCGGTTCTTGCAGTTGGGTACCGAGCAGCTACTTGCCATGTGTATGGCAGGATTCTTCCCTGGGTCCCTCCAGCGTTACGTCCTGGGGCTTTATCCACTTAAGAGGGTGCAAGCGAAGAAGCTGGGCTCAGCCTGACCAACACTCAAATACCATCTTTCTTCGGGTTGGCGGTCTTACGGGCAGCCCACGGACTCCTGGGTGAAACCCTTCCAAGGGGGAGCGCCCCAGAACGATGAGAAGGGTGTCGATTTGGCCGAAACCTCTCTGGGGCTTCTCCCACTCACATCCTCATCTCCTAGAGACTTCTCTAAGAATTGGGACTCTCTGGATATAACCCTCAGAGGGAAGCAAGAAGGAAATTCCTCTCGCCCGTTCCTGAAAAGAGAAAAACAAAGAACCCATCACACAGTGATGCTTCTAATCCAGCATCCCGTCCTCACCATTCAGGGCGACTCACACGTACCTAGGAAGGTTCACAAGCAGGACCGGGAGGAGAGAGTCTCCCCTATGGAGTCTTGCACATATTTAGTACTTGGGAGTACAGTATGCAGGGGCTGAAAACCTGTCAAACTGCCTCAGGTTTAGAAATCTCCACAGACATTTAAGGGTTGACTTATTCAAAACATTTTTATCCCCATCTTTCTCCTTTAAAAGGACCCTAGGTGGCTTAAATCATTGAAAGCCAACATTTAAAGCTGAAAACAATGAGCATGCAACGGCGGTTGCCATTGCTAAAAAGACAACATTAACACTAAAATCGCAAAAGTCCGTATGCGGCAAACGGCTAAAATCGCAAGAGTCCGTATGCGGCAGGCACCATAGGCAACAGAGGAGAGAATAAAGGAGCTCTCAAGATATTTGTGAGGGATGTGGTGGCACTGTGGGTTAAGCCGCAGAAGCCTCTGTGCTGCAGGGTCAGAAGACCAGCCATTGTAAGATCGAATCCACACGGCGGAGTGAGCTCCCGTCGCTTGTCCCAGCTCCTCGCCAACCTAGCCGTTTGAAAGCATGTAAATGCGAGTAGATAAATAGGTACCACCTCGGTGGGAAGGTTAACGGCGGTCCATGTCTAGTCGCGCTGGCCACGTGACCACAGAAACTGTCTACGGACACAAACGCTGGCTCTACAGCTTGGAAACGGGGATGAGCACCACACCCTAGAGTCAGACATGACTGGACTAAATGTCAAGGGGAACCAAGATATTTCTTTTTTCATTTATTAGTCACATTGATAACTTCCACTTTTCCTCCAGTGAGTTTGAGACAGTGTTCACGGTTCCCCACCTCGCCCTATAATCTTTACACCAACCCTGTGAGGTAGGTCAGGCACAGAAGGAATCCAGTTGATCCAGAATGACCCAATGAGCTTCATGGGTCAGCAGGGATCAAAACCTGGGTCTCTGAACATCCAAACCATTACATTGTGCCACCTTTGCGCTGCAACCACTGGGGAGTCATCCCCATGGACCTCACAGGCTCTTCATTCCCCGAACCCTGTGGGTAGTGATGTAAACAAAGTCAGGGTTTGGAGAAATGAAGTCTGAGGCCCTTCCGAGTCACAGGGGCAAACGGCACTGCCCACCATCCCCCTCAGGCCTCTCTGTTCCCTCTGAGCTTTGCCTTGAGCAGTTGGGAGGAGAAATGGATGTTCCCAAAAGCAGCTGTCCTTGTAAGTGTGAGAGGGCAATAGAGCCACACATGGGCCATTAAGAGCCATTGGCTTTACAAATCACCTGTTCTAGCTGGAAACTAAAACTGGCAGAAATCATTTGTTCACACAGATTCTACTGACTGCATTTTTTAAAAAAACTCTCCTCAGGATAAGGCTTCTATGGGGACTGCCATGATGAATACTTGTTCTTCCAAATTTATCACTTCCTGGATAGCTCAGTGGTTTAGGTATCTGGTTGCGGGAGACAAAGGTTGGGAGTTCCCCACTGAGCCTCCTTGACAGGGACTGAACTAAAGATAATTACTTATTGTTAGACATACATGTGGTGCTGGAGGAGATTGAGAGTCCCCTGGACTGCAAGATCAAACCTATCCATTCTGAAGGAAATCAACCCCGAGTGGTCACTGGAAAGACAGATCCTGAAGCTGAGGCTCCAATACTTTGGCCACCTCATGAGAAGAGAAGACTCCCTGGAAAAGACCCTGATGTTGGGAAAGTGTGAAGGCAAGAGGAGAAGGGGACGACCGAGGACAGGATGGTTGGACAGTGACCAGCATGAATTTGACGCAACTCCGGGAGGCAGTGGAAGATAGGAGGGCCTGGCGTGCTCTGGTCCATGGGGTCACAAAGAGTCGGGCACGACTAAATAACAACATCTTCTGGTTGCTGCACAAGGGTGGAGGGCGGTGTTTCGCGTATTTAGTACTTGGGAGTATGCAGGGGCTGAAAACTTGTCAAACTGCCTCAGGTTAAGAAATCTCCACAGACATTTAAGGGTTGACTTATTAAAAACATTTTTATCCCTGTTTTTCTCCTTTAAAAGGACCCTAGGTGGCTTAAATCATTGAAAGCCGATATTTAAATCTGAAAACAATGAGCATGCAACAGCGGTTGCCATTGCTAAAAGACAACATGAATGCTAAAATCGCAAGAGTCCGTATGCGGCAGACTCCCTATGCAACAGAGGAGAGAATAAAGGAGCTCTCAAGATATTTGTGAGGGACATGGTGGTGCTGCATAGGGGAATGCCTACTCTGAAGTAGCATCTATTTCTAATATTTTGGGATCTGCCTCACCCCAAGGCAAGCAGAAGGAGTAAAACTGACTAAGGGGCCAAAATGTCCTGATATATAAAAAAAATTACAAAGATGGGACACTTCCCGCTTCCAATCCAGGCTAAACCATCGTGCTGTGCTAAGTGACCAAGGAAGTGATTCCTGGATGGCAGGGGAGACCATTTAAGGAACTTGGTGTTTGCTGAAGCCAGCTATTGGAAAAGCTACTTTTGTGGATTCTTGTTTTCCAAATATTTTGGGTTATATGGTGGGGGGGAGCTCAGGAATGAGACATTTCCTATTCCAGACTTGAGATAGTATGCAGTTGTTGTTTTTTTAAGTGAACTCAATCTTTTTGGGTTTTTTGGACAGAGAGAAAAGAACTCAACTATTCTCCAGGGACGTGGTGGCGCTGCGGGTTCAACCGCAGAAGCCTCTGTGCTGCAGGGTCAGAAGACCTGCAGTCGTAAGATCGAATCCACATGACGGAGTGAGCGCCCGTCGCTTGTCCCAGCTCCCGCCAACGTAGCAGTTCGAAAGCATGTAAAAATGCAAGTAGATAAATAGGTACCACCCTGGTGGGAAGGTAACGGCGTTCCGTGTCTAGTTGCGCTGGCCACGTGAGCTCAAAAACTGTCTTTGGACAAACGCTGGCTCTATGGCTTGGAAACAGGGATGAGCACCACCCCCTAGAGTCGGACACAACTACTAAATATCAAGGGGAACCTTTACCTTTACCTTATTCTCTAGGAGCCTTTTAAAGCGCCACCAAACAATTACATAGTTTACAGTTGACGCTAAACAATAATCTGAAACGTAGTGCTGGAAGAGAGCGTTGAGGATACCCCAGGCAGCCAGAAAGACAAGCAAGCGGATCCTGGATCAAATGAAGCCTGCACTGTCTCCGGAGGCAAAAATGATGAAAAGACCAGAATGCTGGGAAAAGTGGAAGGCAGCAGGAAAAGAGGAAAAATGAAACACGAGATTGACAGACTCCGTAAAGGAAGCCACAGGCTTGCGTTTGCAAGAGCTGAGCAGGGCGGTGGAGGAGAGGGCCTTTCGGAGCTTGCTCATTTATAGGAGGCCACTTGAGGATACATAACAACAACAAACCAATCACTGAAGTTCAGACTGCCGTTAAAACAAGCTGATGAAGGGACTTTTAATTAGAAAAACCCTCCCCCCAATAATTACAGAGCATGCATTTTCTGCCTCAAAGCTTCACCGCTCCTCATGTTCCCCAAGCACGGAGCACGCATTTAGTAATAATCCTAATAAAGCGCAGGCAATGGAAGGCAACCCCCCCCAAAAAAAAACCCTAAATAAAATAAAAACTGGGTTTTTATATTATTTAATTTTTCATTACAAAGTTGTCCTGTGCAACTAACTTCTCCCCCTCTCACAAATACCCTCACAATGTATCCGTGGCTGTAGCTACAAATCCCTTTCTTGGCTTCTGCAATAATTGCAATATTAGGAATTGTCAACACTGCCCGGTTGCTGTTATGTTATTCTCTCAGCCTGCATATGACTCCCTTCACGTCTCTCTTCCTTCCAACTTGGAAAAAGCAGAAACAATGGGAGTCCGGCAGCACTTTAATCCCAAATAAAGTTGGGTTTTCCTCTCCCTTCCTTTCCACCACCGCCTAAAACGGCTACTTCTTACTGTTTTTAATGTCATACTTGTTTAATTATTTTTAAATATTTGTATACCTACTGTTTTTCGCTTCTGCATAATGTATTTTTAATTATGTGATCCGCCTGCGTAATTAACTTGTAAACCGCCCAGAGAGTGCTTGAAGCGCTATGGAGCAGTATATAAGCAGCACGCTTTGCTTTGCTTTGCTTGGGTTCTTTTTAAGAAGAAAAGGCGGCCTAAAAATATTTTAAATAGATAATACATCTTTTGGAAAGTACCTCCCTGGCCAGTGGTCTACTTGGAAGGGCTGTCGTAACGTGTCCTACAGTGTGCTTTTCTCTGCAATACCAAAAAGAGCATAAGGTGTTCTTATGACCTAGGAATCTTAGGAAAAATTCTGTATTCCTCACCCACAATGTGTGGAAAATTCTGTATTTCTGAGTCAGAATGTGCGGGAAATTCTGTTATTTCTGTTTTTCTCACCCAGAATCTTAGGGAAATCCTGTGTTTCTCACCCAGAACATAAGGAAACCTCTCTATTTCTGTGTCACTGTAAAGAGAAATTTAATGACTCTATATATCCTTGGATCGATGGAACAAAGTAAAGCATCCCCTTTACTATAAGGAATTCACATGGATCTTCTTTTAAAAACAAAAATAACTTCAGACGACCTTACAAAAACTTTATCCTTACACCCAGTTTATTCGAAGCATATATGTCAATTTCACCATTTACATCTCTAAAAATATGCTCCTGCCCAGTAAAGGAATAGATAATAAAGAAAATCAGACTGTTTCTTTACATAGAACCAGCATCTTATAAAACTGTAAAATCTTGGCATACATGGCAAAAGCATTCAGACAGTCAAAATAAAGTCACGGGAAGTAAAGATGACAATGGAGCAAATCAGATTCACCAGTTCTGCCCAACTTGGAAATCAAAAGGTGTTTTTTTTTTTTCAGCCCAAGAGCGACACCAGCATCACAGCCCCCATGAACTGGACGAAGAGCACAAGAGGAGTGACGAAAGACCACACAGGCCATAAGGAAATGTTAAAACACACGGCGGCCGCGATAAAACTGGCCGTGGTGACTGGAATCAGGGCCGGGTAGTGGGCATCGTAGTCCTTAATGCCCCGATACCACTCAAGATAGAAGATGCAATAAAAGGCCACAGAGAGGCTGATCATCAGTAAAAAGCTGCCAAGCATAAACCACCAGTTTTCTTGAAGAATCATCTCTTTCACATTCTTAAAAAATTCAGCGTAGTAGGTCGTGGCGATGGAGGCCAGGATCCAGAAGGCAGAGTGGGGGTTTAGTCTGGGAAGAGGCTTCTCTTTGATAGTAGTTTCTGTGTTGGGGGCTTCCACCACCGTCCCGGAAGATGATGATGGCTGCTGAAGCTCAGAGTCAGGCCCATCACCCAGCAGCTGTCGCCTCCTCAAGCGCAGGAGCGGCTGTAGCAAATCCTCCTCTTTTCGGACCTCCGCCGAGGCTGTCTTTTCCTCATCCACCATCACGTCGGAATCTGCCAGGCCGGGGAACTGACACGGATCTTCCATGCCTGCCTAGGCCAGCGAATGGAGGAGAAGGGTGGCGGGCGGATCCGCTTCAGGCACTCTTGGAGATCCGGGTGGTCCAGACGTCCTTAAGGGCCTTCGTCCGGCAGGCCAAGTGTCACCGTAATATCTATGCAGCCATCCATGCAGGGGTGGGAAAAAACGCAATCAACCCAGTTTTGGTAACGAGAAGGCAGGCTTATTATTATTATTATTATTATTATTATTATTATTATTATTATTATTATTATTATTATTATTATTATTATTATTGCAACGTAACCAACCCACCAACCTTCTTGATCGGGAAGAAATGCAACCGAGAATCAACCAAGGGCACACTTCGTTTGCAACCCCGGGGACAAAAACAACTTAAGGCGATCTTGCAAAAACTTTTATCCTTTCAAAGTATATAAGTCAATTTCACCTTTTACATCTCTAAAAAAGAGGCTCATTTCCAGTAAAGGGATAGATAGGTAATAAAGAAAAAAACACAGTTTCTTTACTCAGAACAAGCATCTTACATCTTATAAGACTGTAAAATCTTGGCATACACAGCCCCGTTTAAAATCCTGATTTCCTTTTTTTCCCCCCCTTTCTTTCTCCCTATATTTTATTATAGGATCCGACTTCCTCGTCGAGCCAAAGCAAGGACGCAACATGGCTTCTTCCCGAGATCGACGGCACACAATGGGCGCTCCCAGCTCTACCTTTTTTTAATAAGTCTACGGTTGAGGGCGCCGGGATTCCCACTCGCCCCAGAAACACACGCGGACGGATCAGCCCCCAAACCCCATAGATCTTTCCCC